GGGTAGGGGGTTAGAACTGGGGGGTACGTTTCTTTGAAAACTTGGCTTCACACATTTTCTTTGCAAAATAAACCATGCTTGCCGCCGAAGTTGTGCCGGTAATAAGCTAAGGTCTTTTGTTCCAAAAAAAAAAAAAAAAAAACATTTAAAAACTGCTAGTGCAAACCTAAAGTCAAAACTAAACGAAACTAAGGCCTCAACCCGCTGAGGACGGAAGACATCAGGGGGCCACGATGTAGGGGCGCAGCGCGACCGGGAGCGCTGCGCCCCGTCGATCTCGCTGACGGGTGCCGGAGAAACGGGCAGGTGCGGACAGCGCATGGCGGGAGTATCAGTGGGCGGTGATGCGCGAAGGAAGAGGGTGCGGCACATGGCGATGGAGGGCGATGGGGAATAGCAGTAAACGGAGAGGTGGGTGGTGATGGAGGATACGTTGCATGGTGACAAAGGGTGATAAGGAACAGCGGCGAGCGGAGAACCGCGACAAAGGGTGATGCAGCGGCGGCTGAGGCGGGGGGTCCGGGGTGAGGATCGTTGGCTAATTTTCGATGCTTTGCCGTGACGTGCTGCATGGAAGGACGCGAAGATGTTGAGAGTTCACCATCGTCTGCTACTTCGCTTCGCTGGGGGAGTCGTCATCGGCTGCCGGGCACTCGTAAAGATGTTTTTCTTGATGATATGCGAAGAGGGTGAAATCTCGAGAGGGGCAACCAATTGGTGCTGGCAATGAGGTCTTCTCTCCCTTTTTCTTCGAAAAGGTAAGTGGTATGGATGATCACTTGAACCCCCTGTGGCGCTTTGCTAACAGGTTTGGTGAGGTGGAGTCACACCATTTTCCTGGTTTTCTTTTGGGAAACGGAAGATGGCCGATTCAAGTCTTCGGTGCTGGCGTTGCTTAGAGCCCGAGTGCTAGCAGTGGGAGGTGGTTCTCCTCCCCCAAAGATGCTGGGGTAGGGTTTGAGGGAGTTGTGGTAAGTTGGGGGCTATTGAAGAAAAAGGGGGAGAGGGATTATTTGGAGAATTGTTGCTCTTATCGCTACTAGTCCGGACGATGAGTTTGTCTGTGTTGATAACAATACTGATCTCGTTCTCATGATTAGTTAATCTAGTTTTGAAATTCTGGAAAAATTGCTTAGTGTTGAGTCCTAATTAGGGCAGCTGATGGTATATCTCATCGACACTGTATAGTTTGATATCTGCTTTATAATTCCTGTTGCATGGTCTGAGTGATCTCTTTAAACTATCATTCTCATGATTTACGGTCCGAGCGATTTCTGGATATTCTTTCTAAATGATGATGATCTGATTTAGTTTTCTGATGGTGGTCCCTTTTGATAATATGACTTCTTGAAAATAATCTCTCAAACTCTTTCGTGCCATACATCTTTGCTAAACGTTTCTCAAACCACGGTTTGGGAATCTGATTCGAAAATCCTTTATGGATATCTAAACCTGAATTTCGTATAATTTCTCGTGAATTTTTTCATTCAGTAGTTTTCCTTATCATTGATCCTATGGTTTTGATTTCTTCTTGATGTCTGATACAACCTCGTTTTCATCTCCGATGCCTGAAAGTAGGCTTCTGAGTTTTTTTCAAAACCCTATGGTTGCTAATCATAACACCGTGTGTTAAATTTTGATTCGGATCGGCTTTCTCAGTTTGCTAATTTCAACTTCCTGGTCTTGAGGGGTGTACTTGTGGCTTGCTGTGTATATGTGTGGGGTCTTCCTTGAGGGTTGGAGCCTCCCCCCCGCGAGAGTTTCACAAGGTGGGAGGTGTTATTCTTTGGAGGGGGGAGGCGGTAGTGGGGGATTGCTGTCTCTTAGCCAGACTGATTTAGGGTCGGATCACTGGATCAGTACTGGCGGGTGGGGAGAGAAGGCGAAGGGGGTGGGGCTGCTTATAGTAGCGTGCTAGGATTTTGTTTTTCGAGGGAAGGAGTGACTTCGATGGCGACACAGCGAGCCGAAGGGGGGGGGAAGCTAGATTTGAAGGAAGGATGAGGTAGTAAGGGGTTTACGGAAAGGGTTGTTGGTTAGGGTAAGTAGGTTAGAAGGACGATGCTGGGACGACACAGGCCGGTGCTGGAGCTTTTGCTCTGTGACCCAGGGGGAGCTTGAGGCCTGGGAAGTTATGCCGAGGGTGGAAGACATAACCAGATCGTCTGACATAGTTGGCGCCGGGGTATTGACACGGTAACCTGTTTAGGGGCTCGCCGCTAAGGGAATTGTCGAGGGAGGAAGGCACTTCCTGTCCGTCAGAGCTAGGTTGATCGGTACTGGGGAGGGTTGTGGTGCCCTGTTACCCTAGCAGAAGGGGGTATGAGATCAAGTGAGTTCTGGTACGAGGACCGAAAGCCTGGACCGACGCCCCATCTGTTGGAAGGGGAATCTGGGATAGTAGGTAGATTTAGTCTTGTCCCCCCCGCTTCGATATTTTTCTAAAGTTTTCGGGTACTTAGTGGTCCTAGGAATGTTTGCAGGACTTTGGAATCCCTACTAACTTGTCTTAGGTGGCTTCAATACTGTTATACTCARAGAYYTGCGGTTGTTCGAGGCCAGAACGACGCTGACYGGTGCTGGGGTGTTGCCCTGTAACCTGCGATGCAGGAGCGTGAGGTCTGGTAGAGAGATCTGGGGAGGTCTTGGGGTKGGCCTTCCACGGGACAACCAAGGGTGCTGCCGGGACGACGCTGGTCRGAGCCGRGGTGAGTCGCGTTGCCCTGTAACCCAGTAGAAATTGGGGGTGTGAGACCTAGAAGAGATTGGCAGGGAGTACGACAGTTTTGAAGAACGTTGGATGGTTTGTGTGGGACTTCGAGGTCGTTGGAACAATTGTAGGACCCCTGGGGCCTATTCTCAAGCTTCTGGAACGACAGTAAGAGTTTTTACGTACCTCAAAACGAAGAATTAGGTGAGTGGGAGAAGTTGGTGGGTTATCACGCGTCCTGACAGTGAGGGGGCTAGCTGCTAGGATGGGAGTATGGCATAGCAGCAGCAGAGATGGTGGCTCCGCTGCAGTCAGTCTTGCCGGAGTAAGGTAAAGTGGATTGATGGGGGTTTCTCCGAGTCGTTTCTGAATTTTGCCTAATCATGAAGTTGTCATAGACAGGTCTGGAAAAAGAGAAGATGGTGGGTTATCATGCGTCCTATCAGTGAGGGGGCTAGCTGGTAGGATGGGAGGATGGTACAGCAGCAGCAGAGATGGTGGCTCCGCTGCAGTCAGTCTCGCCGGAGTGAGGTAAGACGATTGATGGGGGTTCTTCTGAGTCGTTTCTGAATTTTGCCTAATCATGAAGTTGTTGTAGATATGTCTGAAGTAGCTCCAATTTCTCTGAACCAAGCCGGGTATCTCAATTTTCAAAATTCCATTCTTAGGCCAATTGGATTTTTCTAACAAGTTCCTAGTCTCAGTTTCATGGAATTTTCTGATGAGTTTTCTGAATGTGCTCGTTATGGGACGCTGGGCCCGGTTCCCAGTTCGTGCCGATTTGTGAGGATATGGTTGTATCTATGGGACGCTGGACCCGGTTTCCAGCAGGTGCTGCTCCCCACCAATAGATGGAGCTTGGTTTAAAAAAAAAAAAAAAAAAAAAAAAAAAGGCCTCACTGTATAAGTTGTTGGCCGAATACGTGGTCCTTCATTCAATTTCTCTGTCGCTTGCCCTCTTGCGGATTTCCTTTCTTGCGGATTTCCTTTCGGTCTCGCTTCTGTTCTACACATGCTGTCATATATTCATATTCGTTTTTTGTTCTGTACAAAAGGAACACAGATCTAACCTTTAAGGCTTTATGTATGTTTTAATTAATTTTGTACCAACAAAAAGAGTCATGACAAACAACTTTTGGTTAAACTTTATATTAAAAAACTTTTAAAAAGTCAAAATATAACAACATATAATACTCATGCAATGAACCACTTAGATTCACTCTCCACACAACATGCACAATCAAAGATCCCAGGGAGGTTCACAGTGTCACACCAAAGCCAGATATGCAGCACCAAATCAGCACAGCTCGGAAACTTCAATGAATACTCGTATTATACAAATTGAGAGTTGAAGAGTTCAGATCGTCAGCGCTCATCAGCGCAATCAACAACAATCCTCAATCAGGTATGCAACCAAGTATCCTCCCCAGTGACTCTCTCTCTCTCTCTCTCTCTCTCTCTCTCTCTCTCTCTCTCTCTCTCTCTCTCCCTCCCTCCCTCCCTCTCTCCCTGATTGTTCTCTCAATACGTGCCTTCTGTCTCAACCCTTGTATCGCTCTGTCTCTGTTTTCTCTCTCTCTCTCGCTCCCTATCAGCTACTAGGATTGTAACCCTGGATACATCCGCTCTTCTTCAACTGCAACTTCAGTTATGGCGGCTATGGCCGCCTTCTCCTTCCTCAACCCTAACTGGTGTGCCGCCAAGCCGGCCCTCTGGCGCAGAGTCCAAGCTGTGAGGTCGCACAAGCAACCAGCAGCAGCACTTCCGCATCTCACACAGGACGAAAGATGCTGTGAGCTGCACTGTAGCAGCTACTAATAGTTGCTTGACTTGTCCTTGGTTTGCGTCTGACAGGAACCGGTCGCCCGCAGCCTGTCTGCTGCATGGGTTTTGCTGGCCCGGTACCTTCCGGACTTTTCCAGGGACACTGCTGCCAAATTGGACCTTGGGCCGGGACTTTCCTTGTTGGGTACCGGTTGGACTTTTTCTGATTCGGTATTGACCCGACACCGACTTACGACGTGTCGGCCTCCAATGGACCTAAGGACCCTAACGACCCTACCTGGGAGTCACCTACTGGGACAGGTGGGACCGGGACCATCTGGGACTCACCCAACTGGGACTGGGACAATTTGAGACCCTGGAATCGGGACTCAGTTGTCTGCAACGTGAAATCCTTTCATTCATTTACTTCACACATTAATTCGTTACCCGACATCACATTAATTCTGTAGGTGGGGCTGTCCCCTGCCACTCCCTCTTACGGTCTCCGCATACCTTTTGTGGGGCATATGCGAGCTTTGAGCAGTTGCTTCTAACAGCTCCACCAACAGAGTGTAGTTCTCCCATAATAGCTGCAATAAGCGTGCTCTTACCAGCTCCAACCTGTCAAAGAAAAAAGATGAAGGCCAACAATATGTAGGACATTGATTTTTCTTGGTGTTTTTTTATTCACATATTTTAATGGCTATAATCAGCTTATTGAATTTTCTTTTGGTTCACAGTCTGTTAGAATCATTGTTTAATATGTTTACTAATTTGGTTGGGGCCATAGAAAGAACACCCCCCCAGGAAGCATAATGACCCCCTGAGTTAGTTACCTCACAACCCCAAATACACATGACTTCATGACTGTGGAATTCATTACTTGGGGTTTAGGGTTTAGGGTATTCGGCTCAGGGCCTCTGGTCTTGGGTTTAGGGTTTAGGGTTTAGGGTTTACCTTTTTTGGTTTTAGGGTTTAGGGTTTAGAGTTTAGCTTTTTTGGTTTTAGGGTTTAGGGTTAGAGGTTTTGGGCTTAGGGCGTAGGTCTTAGGGTTGAAGGTTTTGGGCTTAAGGTATAGGGCTTTGGGGTAAAGGTTTTGGCGGAAAGGTTTTGAGCTAAGGATTCGGTTCAGGGCTTAGGGTTCAGGTTTCCGGTTTTAGGGTTTAGGGTTAGAGGTTTTGGTCTTAGGGCGTAGGGCTTTGGGGTAAAGGATTAGGATTTTTCAAGTTGAAGGTTTTGGGCTTGAAGTTTGATGAGTATCCCCTATGTTTGTATAGCCTATGGGCCTCGCTGCACTACTCTCGAAATGTGCAAAACGAGAGTGAATCTTCCGCTAGAATATGGAAAGATGCACCACCATGATTTTTGTCTTTTGTGCATGTCGAGAGTAGTGCAGCGAGGCCCTATATGAGTAATACTAAGCAGACCTGTAGCTTGGCTATGAGGCATGCTAGCAGGATGCTGCAGCTGCTGCATGTCAGGGTATAAGCACACTTGGAATTTAGTACAAATTGAACTAGTCACAAAAGACTCACAATCGCGCTTAGATACATCCACAGAATGTCACTATTGCCACTATGCCCTCAGGATTCAGAGCCCACTTGAGAAATGCCATACGAGCCATCATGGTCATACAATAAACGAAACGAAACCGGCAACCAAATCAAACAAAGATTGCAAAATTCATTTAAATTGCACTCTTTAAAGTTTAAAGTTTAAACCTTTTAACTTTTAAGGATTTTTTAAATCAAACTTATTATGAGATTGAAATTTGAAACTGCTTTTCAACTGTAACAGATTGTTGGTACATCAGGAAACCCCTATAGACAAAATGAAAGGAAAAAAAGAGGAAGGCCACGACTTCACCCATCTCTACAAGCATGTCTTTCTTGGAAACAGTATTATCAGACATGGTGAGTTCTTTATCCATCAGTCAAATCCATCTTGGGCAGGCGGTTGGGGTTCAACCTCCTAATGAGACGGTGAAAGTACGACAAAATAATCAGGCACAATCATGCATTTTTTTGTGTGTGGAGTTGTGTGTAGTGAACATGACAACACACACACACACACACACACACACACACACACACACACACACACACACACACACATAAACAAACACACACAAACAAACACACATAAACAAACACACACAAACAAACACACACAAACAAACACACACAAACAAACACACACACAAAAAAAAAACAAAGACAAGAAGAAAGGACATTACTTTGCCCATTAAAGTTGATTAAAGTTCATTAAACAACAATTCCGTCAAAACCGACATATGTTATTTCTTTAACGCAATTGAAAACTCATAAATTGGTGCGGTTTAGGTCAATATTGTCAGCTCGTGGGGGTACGGCATTCTGAAAACGCCCTACCCCCTGGAAACACCAATGTGGCGCTTTTTCTTTTCCTTTGGCCAGCGGCGCTAGTAATGTCCATTTTGGTCCAGCTGCCCCGAGCATCTGTACTTTTCGGAACGACTCCTTTTCGAATCTCCGATCTCGATTCTCAATTTTGCCAGGATGACGTACTGGCTGTTTAAAATTTTAATCCATTTCAAACATCCCATTTCTCATTGTACCTCCCTACAAAATTATAACCAAACAAAAAAATAGAAAGCACGAAAGAGGGGAAGAAAGGCAATTCATTACTTTGCCCATAACTCCAAGAATCTCGCCCTTGGCCATTTCAAACGTCACATTCTTGAGACTGATGTGACTGTCCTTCGCCTGTTCGCCATCTCCATAGCTCGGCGGTAAGCCATGAACCCCGTCTGTCCGTATCGTCTGCTTTGAGTGATGGCGTCCATCATGATACACTGCTACTAACCGCGAGTGTGTAGCTTGACCTTCAGGAATGCGCCAGCAAAATGCGCCATTTCGAATTTTTAACGCTAATCGAGGATTGAGTTGATCTTGGCCGTTGGCGCCTCTCTCTCCTCCTCCTCCTCCTCCTCCTCCACCGCCGCCGCCGCCGCCTCTTCCTCCTCTTGTTGCCGCTGATATGTTGATTGCCACTGATGACGGACTGTTATGCTCAATGCTCTCTCTCTTCTCCGGCGTGCGATGGATGATGCCATCATGTGCAAGCTGGCAAAGGCAAAGATTACATTTTTCCATGATTTTTCTCGAAAAAGTTAAAAACTTTAGAAGTCTGAGCTTATTATTATATCATTGATAAAAAAAAAAAAACTTTAAAAAAGATAAGAAAAGAAGTAAACTGCCAAGTTTGAAGTTTAATTTTTTTTTATGGTAATCTTGTCAAACGGACTCAAACGAAAACATCCGAGCTGCCAAAGCGAGAAGTAAATTTTGTCAAATAATGACTCAAATTATTGGAGTTCATAGTGGTGCAAAAAAAGAAATGAAAAATCAAAAACCTCAACTGACAACTGCTCAATTTCTTGTAATCTGTAATTGCGCATAAGTCTAGTCAGACCAAAAACTGCAAGCTGGCAAAGCCAAGTTCTTTTTTTTTCTTTTTTTTTTTTTTTCTTAATAAAGAACCTTACTCCGCTTACTAGGGGGGGTGATATGAGCAGCCTCCCCTAGCGAGGGAGTTGGTTGCTCCGTTCCATTCCCGGCAAAGCCAACAAGTACTTTGTCAAATCTTTGAAGTTCGGTGTGGAGTGGGACAAAGAAGGCAAAACCGTGAAATTTCATAACTTCAACAGCCATTTCTTGTCGGTTGGGCAAGGATCTCAAGTGCCCAGAAACGGGTATAACGTTCTACAAACCTAGCAATTATCATTGATCGATCGTCCTGCCTCCGTGCTTATTTTTCCACAGTTCGGGGCAACTCACAAGTGTGCTTATTTGCTACTTCCATGATGTGTCCCTTTTTCCCCCTCCTCATTAAACCACCAGTACCTCACCCAGCCTGCAAAAATCGTTTGCGGCCGTTATCGCGCCGAGACTTTCGGGGGGCCACGGCCGTCGAGATTTCGCATCGACGGTCCTCGGCACGGCGCGGGCCTCGGAAAGTTTCGGTGAGGGGCCCGCGGCCGATATATGGCCGAGGTACTGGTGGTTTAAGAAGAAAAAGAAGGGTGAAGGACGTAAAATTCATAAATACCCTGCTTATGTCTAAAAGGACAAAGCTAGCCTGGTCAGAAAGCACGTAGTCACTTTCCACAGCTCCATGGAGAATCATGTACTTGGACAGCTGCACGCCTGGGTGCATCCTTCTTCTTCTTCTTCTTTAGCCACATCAGCTCATAAGACCACTATCAATGGGGCTGGGTCACACCGTACTCTGTTGAGCTGGCTGTTATCGAGGGTTTTGTTTTTGGACCGTCAAGTTTTCTAGCCGGTTCGTCATCATGATAGCTCTCATTTCTGCATCTCTGCAATAAAAACATCCAGAATCAGGCGCTTAATCCAATCCACTTTGCTAGTGGGATGTGACCCCTGAAATGATAAGAGCATCCCCGGCATTGTTCTCCTCACCCCTCCGCCCCCACCTCATTTGGGTGGGTGCTCTCCGACTGGACTTGGTTGTCACACACACACACACACACACACACACACACACACACAGAGAGAGAGAGCTGTCTCTTATACACATCTAGATGTGTATAAGAGACAGCACACACACAGAGAGAGAGAGAGAGAGAGAGAGAGAGAGAGAGAGAGAGAGAGAGAGAGAGAGAGAGAGAGATCGGCACATGCTGTACACAGGACATAGGCACATACGGTCCACGGCGCATCGCCTTATACAGTCAATTGCATGAGAGCGGATATGAAAAGGGTACACCCAATTGCATCAAATCGTCACGCAGGCTTCTAAAACGAAGGGAATGAACTTGAGTGAATTGAGAAGAAACAATCCAGTGAAGTCCAACCACCATGCACAGCGTGGCAGCCACACCCCGAAGGCTTTTCTTTGTTTTTTTCTTTTTTTTTGTTTTCCTTAGGGGTACACCTGGTGTTGGCATTGCTCGGCCTTTGGCTAAGATCAAGTGTAGTATCTGTTCTGATTAGTTTAATAAAAAAAAGAAGAAGAAAAGAAAAACAGAAAAAAGCAAAAAAACGGGAAAAAGCTGAAAATTGGCAATAGTGACTTCATTTAAGTATATAATAATTATAATTTGCAAGTATATAGATATAACTTATTTGGTATATTTGGCATATGTCTGGGTGACTCCGAGTCCGAGGTCCCCTTTTCCCCCCTTTCCTGTACCCCCCCCCCCCTCTCCCTCCCCTTCCACTCCCCCACCCGAGCCAATCTACCTCCAGTATCTCAGGACTAAGAGCGCGATTTCATGTAGCTTTCCTTGAAAGGAAAGAAAGGGATGTTTTCCCCTTTTTTTTTCTCTTTTTTCCCCCCTTTTCCCCAAAGCCTGGGCCCGGTACATTTTGCATGAATCTGGAAACTTCCCATGGGCAATACCATCTGGTCCAAGGAAGACCTGGCCCTATAAGTCAAGGATGAGCAACTCAAGGGTAAATTAGGACGGCAGGTCGCCGATAGGCTGCTACAGCACTACCTTCGTCGCCTGAATAGAACGAATGGACATTATAGCTGCTGTATTTGGAGCCCCATTCAGTCTACATACAGCCATAATAACCAGCCATTCTATCAGGGTGAAGAAGGTAGGTTAGCACATGCGTGAGCAATAGGAAGGGATGACCTCACAGCCGCCACCACGATAAACTGACATTTCGTTAAAACTGACATTTTTTTTTTCTAAATTCACGAAATTGAGCGTACAAACCAAAGATTATTTTGTGGTTTGTTTTTTTGCCCCCATGTCATCAGACCATCTCATCTCATCATCCGGCGTCGTGGCGAAGCCCGATTATCCAGCCTGAGATGTACCTCGATTTTGCTTCTTTTTCTTTGCACCCTCGGATGTATTTTGACGGTACTTTACGTTGTTGAGATGCATCAGATCATGATTCAGATGGTCAAAAAAGTGAGATAACCACTTTCTCACCATATGAGCAATGAAATTCTGACCGAGTCCACTTTCCTGAATTTAGAAAAAAAATGTCAGTTTTAAGTTTCTATTACTTTTTAACGAAATGTCAGCTGATAGCAGTTTTAAAATTGGGAAGGAAAGACATTTCGTTAAAACTGACCCTCAGGCTAATGAAAAAAATGTAAGTTTTAACTTTTAAGTTCCATATTAGCAGTTGGAGCTCTCCGTGCCAATGGCCACCCCTACTATGTACGATATATACTAGTAGCTGCTTGGGCGTTGTGTAGTGTATACTACGTCATAGGTAGGGGTGGCAGTTGGACAGACGTGGTGGTTGTTGGGGCGGTGAGGAAGGCCATGATGGCCATCAGAAAAGTCAGCAGACGCTTGACATGTCTGGCGGTTGGCACGGAGGGCTCCAACCCGGGTCCATCAGCTTTGTGGATGAGTGATGTTTAGCTGTGAGGCTATCTGTTACTCTGTGGTGGATCGGGCAATTTGTCACAACGTTTTTTCTTTTTGCTCGGGTCTGATTTTGCATTACCATGAAATATTGGACTATCCTTTTTTGTAATGTGTGTTGTGTGTCTTAAAAAAAAAAAAAAAAAAAAAAAAAAAAAAAAAAAAAAAACTTTGGTGTGTCCATTATGTGATCCGTTCTGGTTCAATTTTGCGTGCACTGTGTGCTATGGAGTGAAATTTGTGTGTGTAAATTAGTGTAATGGTGTATCTCATCTCCATGCTCATGCGGAGCTGTTTGACGAACATACTCTACATCTACATCGATTCAAGCGGCCATCCGCAACAGAGGGTGCAGAGCTCAGAGGCATGGTGGGGATGCGATAGATATGCTAGGCTACAGTCTACCACAGAATGCACCCTTGTCATGAGCGTATTAGATGGAAGTATAACCTGCATACATTCATAGTGAGGGTGCGTTGGTGTTCCCGGAAAGATGGTAGGCAGCAGTATACGGCAAGTCTCACCTGCACTGGAGTCGGGAACTATTCCTCTCTTGTCAGATCGGACAGAGCTCGGCGCCCTATAATACTACCCGCCGCCTAATGTGCTGTCTGCCTGGGCTCTTCTATCCCTTTGTCTGCTTCTGACATAGGGACGGCCGACCAGTAGACCCACTGGCATAGGGACTGCCTACCAGTAGACCCATAGGGTCTGTCAGTGGGTCTACTGGTAGGCAGTCCCTATGTCCTGGATCACAGGTCAGGAATCTGCTTAGTCCTCCGGGTCCTTATGTGGGCCTGCATTGGGGGGGAGGGGGGGGGAGCAGATTTGTCTTGGGCCGCGGGCCTGGATTTTCTGCACAGCCCTTTCTTCTCTTCGAACCGCCGAGGCCTTTCTACCTTCTTCCCCCCAATACAACGTACGGTTATTATAGCTGTATTTGGGGTATCTTTCAGTCTAAATACAGCTATAATGACCGTACGTTGTACTCGGGGGAAGGAGGTAGTGCTGATTCATTCATGCCTGAAAATTTTACTTCCCATAACATGCCGATGATATTCGGATAACAATCTGATAACGTTCCGATAACATTCGGAGAACATTCGGATAACTTTATCCAGTGGTGGTGGTTCACCTTTACCTGAAAGAATTTCTCCAGCCTTGAAAAGCAAACAAGCACTTCAGCGAGCCTCTCGATTCCCTGCGAAAAAAAGCTGCCCATCCATAGCCTTGGAAGCTGGAAAAGAAAAAGAAAAAAAACAGTAGCGGCGAAGAGATCAGACCCTTTTTTTTTCACGAAAGAAAGCAAAACGAGAACCATTTCAAATTTCAATCTGTTGATGGGAAGCCGCAAAAACCAGACGGGTCAAAAAAGAGGCAAGGTTCCCCAAAAAAAATCAAAAGACTTCAGGCCAGGACTGCGCTTGGCCTAAGCAGTCAGAATCCGGTCTTAACTTCGGTTTTGGTGATGGGTCATCCAGGGGGGGTTGAGGGTATAAACAGTGACTAAAGGGCTTAAACGGGTACATTACTACATTAGTACATTTGGAATTTTGGACTCATGCTTTCTCACTTACTTTTATCTTGAAATTAACAAGGAATTTCGAGGTGGCCCTCAGCCAAAAGTCGTTTGTACTGCAATTTTACACAACATTTTTTTTTTTCCGTTTTTTTTCTACTTTTTAAAATATTATATGCGCTGGGATCGCCCGGGACCCTGCCCGGGCCCTGCCCGGTCCGGGCCGCCCGGGAGGGTACCTGGGCAACCTTCCCCCAGCCAAGCCGCCCGGGGACTAACACAGCTTTTTATTGAATTTCAGAATAAATTTAAACTAAAAAGAAACAAGTCCTGCAGTGTCGCACTTTCGGTTTCGAAAGCGCCAAAAAAACACGTGTGGACAACAACATCGGGACCGGTGCAGAGTTTGAAACGGGCAATATCGGTTGGTAAAAATGGCTGTGGCCCTCGTGTGTGATCTTGTTGCCCTTCTCGAACTCTGCGCACAATGTTTGTTGCGCTTTTCAAAATCGGCGCGCGAGTTTGTTGCCCCCGTGTGATTTTATTCCATTCTTCTTCGTCTTCATCTTCGTCTTCGTCTTCGTCGTCGTCGTCGTCGTCGTCGTCGTCATCATCGTCATCATCGTCATGCTCCTTCTCTATGAACATGAACGCGTAGCGATCGGCCTCGCTACTTCAATTCAATTCAATTCAATTCTTCTTCTTCTTTAGTGTATTCCACTTCCTCTTCTTCTTCTTCCTCTTCTTTCGTCGTTGTCGTCGTCATCGGTGGTGGCGCCATCGTCTTTCTCTTCCCCTTTATCTTCTAATTCCACGTCTTCTTGTATTGCGATGAGTGGCATTCGCTCCAAGTTGAGTTTTGCATCAAGAATTTGGCAAGATCGTAACAAAATCACTCTACCATTCAACCAAACTAGCAAACAATCGGAATAACAAACAGTTTGCTAATGTCTTCTGCTTTTTCCTCCAGCTGTGTAGAATCTATTTACAAACACACAAAATCGAACCAACCAAAGGGAGGAAC